CCCCTCATGCATCTGACAGTGGGAGGGGAAGAGGGAACATTTAAAGTATGCCAGAGCATGCTGATCCTCTTAACGCCTTAGTTTCTCAACCAGGATCTAACCTGATGGGTTAACCTGATGGCTGGACTCTGACCAGGAGAAGGGAAATATCTTTAGTCCAGCCAGTTCTGGCCTTCTGTTATGATTTGGATTTGGAATGTCCCCTGAGAGGCTCATGTGCTAAAGGGTTGGTCCCCAATACAGCCATGTTCAGAGGGGGGAATTCTAGGAAATGATTGGATAGTGAGGAGCTCTATCAGTAGACTAATCTGGAGATGGCATCATAATTTGATGGCATTATTCACAGGTGGTATAAACTCTGTGAACTAGGTGGAGCCTCGTTGGAGGAAGTGGTCACTGGGGATGTGCGCTGGAAGGAAGTGTATGTTTCACAGCCCCCTTGCTCTCTCTTTGCTTCCCAGCTGCCATAAAGTAAGCAGTTCTACTCCAACACATGCTCCCCTTCATGATATCCTGCCTTGCCAAATGCTCAAATCAATGGGACCAAGTGACCCATGGTCTAATACTTCTGAAATCACAAATCGAAATAAAATTTTCCTTCTTTAATTTGATTTTCTCTGGTATTTTGTCACAGTGATTGAAATCTGGTTAATAAGAGTCATCTTGTCAAATCCTGACGAAATAGATCCAGACCACAAAGAGAAGGTCCTAAACTACCATTTGCCTCAATTCCTGAGATAATCCCCATTACCAAAGTTTTCTGTGTCTTAATACAAGTTACATAATTCTCCCCATCTTGACTTTACAAATCCTTGCTTTCCTTTGCCTCCTGGAAATGCCTGTGGCATGGCTTGCTATGGTACCACCTATCCCAGATTGCTGTCACTCACTCCAGATAAATTCATTCTCTGTAGAGGAGCTCTGTTATTTTAGGTTGTTAAGGGATTTATTAAAAGAGGATGAAAACAATTGACAGGAAGTATGAAGTTGATTTAATAATAAGAACAAAGAAAGTTAATCAAAATGGAAAATAATCCCAGAAAATTAGTAGAAATTAAACAAAAAATTAGTAGAAAACAATTAATCCCAAAAAACCCCAGAAAAATTGTTGATAATAAATAATGCTGCATATTTATGATAATAATATTGCAAACACATGAATATTGGTCCAATCAGAAAGGCTTTTGCTTCTAAGGGAATGATGGGGGTTTCACATGTGTGTTGGGGGTTGATAGAGAAGGGAAGAAAGAGAGCTAAATCCTGGTCAACCATAATAGGAAGTTAACAGGTTATGCCTAAACCAGAAAACTCAAGTAGCAGCAAGATGACAGGTTTTTTGGAGATGCAGAGGTCAATTTCAAGAGCATTTGCTGAAAAGTAGCTACCTCTGAGGAACTGAAACTGAGAGGGTGATGGGGCAGAGGGCAAGTGCTTTTCTCACAAGTCTGATAGAAATCTCTCTTTATACAATGTGCAACTATGAATAAACATGAAGCTTCAACTGAAAATCAAAGGTGTAGAAGCCAAACAGACTGAGGTTTAAATCTGCAAGGAGACAT